ATTTTTTGTGATTTATTTGGTCAATTAGAAAAGGTGAATAGTGGTCTTACAAGCCACTCCAATCAAATGGTGACACTTGTCACCTCATTAATGCTTCTCTATCTTTTTGTTTCCTCTCAAACCAATCCAAATTGCACTCTCTACTTATCTCTTAACATCCGGTAAATTAACTCCAGTATCCAAAACTTAACCTAGTTGTCCGAATTTTTCCGAACTTTTCGCGCTAGTGGGTCCCACGTCCGGTATACGCTCTTACTTTCTCAAAATCTATTTGATACTAGAAAAATCATCTAAAAACTATATCTGCTCCTTAAAATTATCTAGAAATTTTCCTACTCACGAAAATGCAGAAAACAAGCCATGAAAAATAATATAACCTAGAAAATGGGAAAAATACGGGTTCTCACACTCATTCTTTCGGGGCGTCACATGATATCCGAAGTTTCTTAGTGTAAATCACCTATCAAATGTACCTTGGACATATTTTAGACATTACCTACTGGAATGAACCGTGTTTGAGGTGTCTTATTGGCCAAACGTTTTGAAAACGGAAAAACGGAAGTCCAAGGCAGATTTGCCGAGGAACTTCTTGGGATTTTAGTGGTTTCATTAACCAACTTTCCGTAAATATTTTTCTATGAAAATTGGCAGAGGAATAGTCCCTATATGGTAGTTTTATACTGCTAAATTTGGTGCCATTCCGCCTCCGTTTCGCTGCTCAACTAAACTTCCAAAGTTCATGATTTGAGTTTGGAAAACCCTTGATTAACAAGGAAATTTTAGTAACTTTGAGCTACCATATCTTGGTGCTCAAAACTCCGAATCTTGTTCCATTTATTTTGTTTTAAACTTGGATTACAACTCTAATACAGTTACAAATTCCAGAGGTTAGTTCGGATCAAGTGAATTTTTCCGAATTTTCAAAGTTGGCCAAAAACCAACCTAAACCTGTCTTCAATGCCCCAGAACAGAAACTTTGAGCCAAATTTTGGATACCTTCCATTTGGAATCATGAAAAAGTGTATTCTAAAAACTTTTAGTACTTTGGAAGTAGTTTCCAACGGTACCAAATTTTTCAATTTCGGACATGTAAAGAATGAGATACGATTTTTCAAAGTAAGTGTAACAAATTTGAAAATTTCTAACTTAAAGGAAATGGAGTTTTTCAAACTCTCTTTTCCCTTTTAATATCACTTGATCATTTTACACTCGATTTTAAGGATGTAAATCAGATTTTTCTTGTGTTTTAAAACTCAACTTTTAAGCCTCAATTTACGAATAATTAAGGCTCATTCTCGTGAAATTTTCTTAGATTGTACAAGAGTGCAATCTTCCTTATTAATTGGGGTTTATAAGTGATAGTTTATTATTAAATGCTCAGGCGCTCAAGAGGGCCTTCCAGAGGATCTCACGAGAGACGTCTAAACCATCATTTGAACTTGCTACTTGAATCACTCGGTGAGTGTCAAGTGCATGAATTTGGTGCTAAGTGTTTACTGTTTCATATCCGTTATTTGAATTTGGAAATTTAGAGACGAGTGTGTACTTTATCGCACTCGTTCTCTTTCAAATGAAATTATATTCGAATTTCGCTATGTGAATTCATATTCGACTTGTATGTAGTAATGTGGATATGATTCGTATATATGATTCATATTTGTGATTCCTAGTCGGAATCGTCGATTTGAGCATTGCTCATCAACTTATATTCGTATTCGGGGGACGCCCAAACTCGTTGGCTACTTTGCGAATCGAGCCAGCATGGGCTTGGTCGGTAAGCTTAGCAAACCATGAGATATTCGTAGAGTATGATCTATTGGAGAGATCTTGCTCGGCATTACTTGCGTAGTATTGCCATGATATACTCGAGTATTATCAAAACTTTGATGAGCGGGTCCGGTAAGGGGGTGTAACGGTGACGGGATTCGAAGAAAGTGGTGTATCTACAGGATTTGATACTCATGTGGTTGACGGAGTGTCAACATGGAATTTGATCAAGGCCATGGCTCGACTAAGTGGAATTTAGCTCCTGAGAGCTACAGTATCCTTGAATTGTTTCTGTCTACTTTTCTTACTGGTAATGTGAATTATTCGAACTTTATAGCTTTACTTACTGTGTATTTGTTGTTGCTATTTGGAATACGTGCTTGCATGTGTGTTTCTTGGCCTCACGAGCATTCGCTCACCCCGTTAGATTTGTTTTCCTTAACAGGACCGGATGGGAATATTTTGGAGAAAAGCCGACTAGATTACTCTTTTGATTAGTACCTTGGTTATAATTGTTTAGTCGACTTATAATTGTTGTATTTTGAAACTTGATGCACTTTTGATTTGGCATATTGGATGTATTTGTCTAGACAACTTTTGGATGTTGTATATATTTGGAAATTGATGTATCATTTGGATCCTGATGTAAGAATTGGATAACTGATGTATTCTGAACTCGTGGTGCAAGATTTGGATATTTGATTATGGAAGCTACTTTTCCTTATTAGATTAGTATAAATTGTTATATATCGTTAAGTTTGAATCGATTTGTCTCGAGTCTTGGCGAGAGCTTGGCAGGCGTTCTGCGGATACCCTTGAGTTCGCCCTTGGGAGAAGTGGGGGCGTCACAGTTGGAATCAGAGTTTAGGCTTTAGATCTTTGTGGTGTATCTTAGGCTTAAAAGTTTAGGATGCTGAACTGTGGGACTGGTTTGAAAGTTAAGTGATCGCTTGTAAGGATGAAATCAGAGCCGTTTCGCGGGGTGAGATTGGGCCAAGTGGTGTTATGGTCCTTATTATGTGAATGAGTAAAGAGTTAAGTACTCTTCTAGAGTATAAGCTGTGAATCATGAATGTGATAGGTATAAATCTTTTATCGTAATACTTGGGGAGGACTAGATATGTATGTTGGGTAGGAATCTCAAATATGGTGATTTACTCTTGGGACTGGCCAGATCGAGATGTAAATTATTTTATTTCGGATTCTTGTTCCCGAATGTTTAAGAGTTGAGGGCAATGTTAAGAACTTGAGATCTCCATTTGCGGGGAAAAGAACGTGTCGATATTTCACGTGAATAGTTACAGGAAACCAATAGTCGTTTAACTAAGATGGCACAATAATTAAGAGAGAGAAGTAGAGAAAGATTGATGAATGGTCCTATGTAACTTGATAGGATCCAAGTGTTTGATATGAGTCGGAAATAAAAAAAAAATTAGACCTTTTTGACTGGTATAGCTAGGATTAGCAGGGATGATGCTAAGTGCTGAGACCATTGTATTTTGCATGACTGTGTGGCCTACTTTTGAGGCACTTGCTTTTACTTTAGTCTTCTGTGACTAAAAGTATTCTTGTGGCACTTGCGTGCTATAATTTTTTATCTTCCCCCTGACTTGCAAATTGTATGAACTTGAAGTGTTAATGAATGTAAATTATTGTTATTTTTGATGTTTTCGTGATTGGTTCTTGTTTTAAGAATTTTCCCTCGTAATTGATTTTTGGGTTAATTACATTTACCTCCCCTGAGGTTTGACCAAATAACGAATCGATCCCTGAGGTTTGACCAAATAACAAAAAGGTCCCTCAACCGTTAGTCTTTGCCGTTGACTGTTAGGGTTAATTACATTTACCTCCTTGAGATTTGACCAAATAACGAATCGATCCCTAAAATTTGACCAAATAACAGATTCCTCCCCCACACTAACATCTGTCACTTATATGTAACGGAAATAGCCAAAAATCTAAATAACCCTTATTGATTTCCATCAAATTTTTAAGGATTAATTACATCTATCTCCCTTGTGGTTTGACCAAACTACTTTTAAATCCCTGTGGTGTGGTAATATTACATGTAACTCCTTTTTAAGTAATCTCGTCAAAAACACTTAAATAGAAGTAGTAAAATATTATATTTACCCTATTTGTAAAACTTGTAGTTAGAGAAAACTTACCGTTAAAAAATCAAAGGTGGTTTCAATAATAACGAATTAAACTAAGAGTTTATTACTTAAATAAAACAGTTTTTAACCAGTATAAAAGAAAAAAAACCAAGCATGTAATAATCAAACTTGATAAAATATGCGCATAAAGGAACAAAAGAAAGAAAATGAAGAAAGAAGGAAAGCTTAGAAAACAAAAAAGAAATTAAAATGTGAAAAGCAAAGAAAGGAATGGAAAAAAAAAGTAGAGTGAAAAAATGAAACCGACAATTGAGCGATGAAAGAAAATTTATAGAAGCAATGTAAAGGTTCACTCAATCCACCACAAAAATGAGACGGACATGATTTTCAAAAATGAGACCATTACCAAATTCTCAAATATCCTTTGACTACTTAATCGGCCATGACAAAGTGTTTTGTGTAGAAAAGCCTTCTGCTAGTTTGGTTTTACAATAGGTTACTAATAAATAGAGTAAAATGTCAATAGAAAGTTGGTACTTCATTTATATAATATAGGAAAAGTATAAGGAGCTGGTACATTATGGAAAGAAAAAATGCGTACTACATTTTCAACCCTCTTTTTCGCTAGAAATTTTAATTTTACTTTATCTTTTAAATAAATTATTTTTTGAAAAAATAGGTACTTTGTTCAGACAATTGGGAAAAGTCGTAAAGCACTGGTATTTTATGGGATAATGGGTATTACCCCATGTAATCCAAAATTTGTCACACTATTTCACCAAATTACAAAATACGTGTATGGCAAATTTTGCATTACAAGGTCTATCAAAATTTACTCTGATTTTATCTGTTAAATAAATTAATAATTTGTTGGATTCAAAATTTTATCTGTTAACCAAAATTTTTTTTTGAAAACACAAAAATCGATAGGTCAAAAATTTGATGGAAATCAATAAGGGTTATTCAGACTTTTGGCTATTTCCGTTACATATAACTGACAGAAGTTAGTGTGGGGGAGGAATCTGTTATTTGGTCAAATTTTAGGGATCGGCAGCTGGACCGACTCAGGGACAAGAAAATATTGAGGGTAATCAAGTGGCTACTGCCATCAATAGGATGACTGATATCCTAGAGCGTTTAACTGATAGACAGGGCCTTGGACCCTTTAACCAACCTGGGGGTCAGGATAGAGGAGAAGATAGGGCTTTGGAGAGGTTCCTGAAGTTTAACCCAACTAAATTCACTGGAGAGTCCGACCCCGAGGCTGCTGAGAACTGGTTAGAGAGAATGACTAATATATTCGCTGCTTTAAACTATACCGAAGATAGGCGAGTAATTTTTGCGCTTTCCAATTTGAGGGAATGGCATGTGCCTGGTGGAATTTGATAAGGGGGAAGTGGGAAAGAGCGCAGACCCCTTGGACTTGGAAAAATTTCAGGAGGGGATTTAATGAGAAATTTCTCCCACCCTTGGTTCAAGAGGAAAGGGAAGATGAATTCATAAAGTTGAGGCAATGAACTTCTAGTGTAACCGAATACGAAGGAAAATTTACTAAACTCTCTAAGTATGCTCCAGAATTGGTGACTAATGAACGAAAGAGGATAAGGCGCTTTGTACAAGGACTTAATGTGGAGATTCAGGAGGGGTTAGCAGCAGCCCAAATCTCTACGTTCACTGAAGTTTTAGAAAAAGCGCAGAGAGTTGAAAGTGTAAGGCTGCAAGTTAGAAACTTTCACGCTAAGAAAAGGGGCACTTCTAGTAACTCGTCTGGACAGGTAGATAAGAGTGCCCCACCATTCAAAAAGGGAAAAGTAACTGGTGGAATGGAGATATCTAGCACACCAAAAGAGACTCAATCAAGAGTAGATCGCAATGGACGAGATCAATCGAGAGGGGCACCTCCAAGTGGTCAATCTGTGGCTCCCCAAGTTGTTTGTGGTTATTGTGGCAAGTTCAACCATACGGAGAATGATTGTTTTAGAAAACAAGGAAGATGCTTGTATTGTGGTAGTACCGAGCACCAAATATCAAAATGCCCGACCGTACCAAAAGAAGGAGGTAATACCCAAAGGCCTGAAAAGTCAGCTGCTAAACAGTCTAGTGCTGGAGGAAGTCGATCTAAAGCACCAGCTAGAATTTATGCATTAGGCTATCAACAGGCTTCCAATTCTGCTACTGTCGTTGAAGGTGTGATTCTCGCTTTTAATTGTCTATTTGAGATTCTAAGTGACCCTAGTACAATTCACACTTTTACAAAATCCTAGGTTCCTAAGATAGAATCAAAGTTTGACTACAATTTAGGTGGATAGAAATTGTGAGATATGAGTTAGCGATTGTAAGTTACTGATTGATCTAATAGACGCGACTATGAAGAGGTACGATGTTATCCTAAGTGTGAATTTCGCGGACGCAATTCTCTTAAGGGGGAGAGGATGTGAGGACTCACAAATTTTCTTATATTAAATTTTTATTTCGAGCTCATTTAATTATTTACTTGGCCATTTGCTTCAAATATTATTTTCTAATCTCTTGAGACCTAATTATATTGATCTATGACTTACTTATATTTTTAGAGTGGCTCGTTTCAAAATTTAATTTCCGAAGGCTCGTTAAGTGAAAATAGTGAATACGCGATTTGGAGTAAATAATTTATTCGAGAATACAATAAGTTTGAAAAATTGAAAACTTGTACATTAGTCTCAAAATAGGTGTTTTTATGTTTAAGTGCTCAATTATTTTTTAATAATATTATCGTTATAAGAATTTTTTAGAAATTTTACTCTATCACGTATAAATCGGAAGTACGCGTTTTCACGTGCGCATTTAATTGAGGGCCTTTAGACCACTATTTTGGGACTACTAAGAGTGAATAATGATGATATGATTGGAAGTGCATTAGAGGTTTAGTGCACTAGTGAAATAAACTTGAGAGGAATCGAGCACAAAACGCGCGCGTGCGCGCGAGAGAGAAAGTTGACTTTTAGGACAAATCTTGGCCACAAATTCTCAAGCTTCCTTAAGAAGCTACAACACTGTCTACACTCTCATTCCCCTCTCTCATTCCAGCGGCCAAGGAGGAAGGCAGAACAACTCCAAGCTTCCAAATTTTCCTCTTCATTTCTTGCACAAAAACATCACCAAATCACACAAAAATTGAACTACACATAACTTAACCCTTGGAGTTTGTATCTAGGTAAGAAAGAGGGGTTGTTTTCACGAATTTCTTGGACCAAGAGGGGACCGAAAATTCTGTCGTTGTGCATCTAAGAAGGTGAGCCGGATCAACTCTCCAAATGTTGCTTCATAGAAGTAGTAATGCACGTTTAAGCCCTTGCATGTTTATGGGTAGCTTGTTTGTAATGGAAAATTGGTTGTGTGGGCTCTATGAACTCCCACCTTGGATATATGGACTGATTTGAAGTGTTTTGATGGTAATAATTTTTATTTAGTGCTTAAACTAGTGGATTAATGTTGGGTTGTTGATAGAAACTTAAGTATGGTGCATTGACCAAAAGTGACCGTTTTGCCCCTGCTTTGTTCGAGCACTTTGGTGTAAAATTTTGAAGATCTAATGGCTTGTTTATGTTGTTTACATGTTATATTGATTGTGTAAAAAGTTTCATGGAAAAATAACATGATTTAGTTGGTTAAATGAAGTGATTTCCAAAGTTTAGAAACTGGAAAATGATTCCCGTCACTACCCAAACAGTCATCTTGTTTCGGCTATAATTCATCGTTCCAATGTCGGAATCGAGTGCCGTTTACGGCACTGGAAACTAGACATTCCCAGATTTCATTTAGTATAAAATGCATGTTCTGGTTCCACTCGAGTGAGCCGAACCATCCGTTTAAAAATTTCTGTCCTGTTTCGTTGGTTCACTACAGGGCAGAACATGAACTACAACATGATACTCAAATGTGAGCTAGTTATGGACGGATTTTGAAATGGTTTCTTCTGAGAAATTATAGCTTTATGAATTTGTTTTCCAACTCCACCAACCATGCTCAATTCCGAGTTGAATTGAGTGATTTATGATCAAAATTCGGATCTGGTCTTGCGAAGGAATACCATGCATTTGGACAGATTTGAAACTAACAAGGATTTGGGACTTGATATTCGAAGTTTCTTAGTGTAAATCACCTATCAAATGTACCTTGGACATATTTTAGACATTATCTACTGGAATGAACCGTGTTTGAGGTGTCTTATTGGCCAAACGTTTTGAAAACGGAAAAACGGAAGTCCAAGGTAGATTTGCCAAGGAACTTCTTGGGAATTTAGTGGTTTCATTAACCAACTTTCCGTACATATTTTTCTATGAAAATTCTCAGAGGAATAGTCCCTATATGGTAGTATCATACTGCCAAATTTGGTGCCATTCCGACTCTGTTTCGCTGCTCAACTAAACTTCCAATGTTCATGATATGAGTTTGGAAAACCCTTTATTAACATGGAAATTTTAGTAACTTTGAGCTACCATATCTTGGTGCTCAAAACTCTGAATCTTGTTCCGTTTGTTTTGTTTTAAACTTGGATTGTAACTCTAATGGAGTTACAAATTTCAGAGGTTATTTCGGATCAAGTGAATTTTTCAGAATTTTCAAAGTTGGCCAAAAACCAACCTAAACCTGTCTTCAATGCCCCAGAACAGCAACTTTGAGCCAAATTTTGGATACCTTCCATTTGGAATCATGGAAAATTGTTTTCTAAAAACTTTTAGCACTTTGGAAGTAGTTTCCAACGGTACCAAATTTTCCAATTTCGGACGTGTAAAGAATAAGATACGATTTTTCAAAGTAAGTACTCTTTCGGAAAGATTTTGGAGAAAAGCCGACTAGATTACTCTTTTGATTAGTACCTTGGTTATAATTGTTTAGTCGATTTATAATTGTTGTATTTTGAAACTTGATGCACTTTTGATTTGGCATATTGGATGTATTTGTCTAGATAACTTTTGGATGTTGTATATATTTGGAAATTGATGTATTACACTGCTGAATTTGGTGCCATTCCGACTCCATTTCGCTGCTCAACTAAAATTCCAAAGTTCATGATTTGAGTTTGGAAAACCCTTGATTAACAAGGTAATTTTAGTAACTTTGAGCTACCATATCTTGGTGCTCAAAACTCCGAATCTTGTTTCATTTGTTTTGTTTTAAACTTGGATTGTAACTCTAATAGATTTACAAATTTCAGAGGTTAGTTTGGATCAAGTGAATTTTTCCGAATTTTTAAAGTTGGCCAAAAACCAACCTAAATCTGTCTTCATTGCCCCAGAACAGCAACTTTGAGCCAAATTTTGGATATCTTCCATTTGGAATCATGGAAAAGTGTATTCTAGGAACTTTTAGTACTTTGGAAGTAGTTTCCAACGGTACCAAATTTTCCAATTTTGGAACTGTAAAGAATGAGATACGATTTTTCAAAATAAGTGTAACAAATCTGAAAATTTCTAACCTAAAGGAAATGGAGTTTTTCAAACTATCTTTTCCCTTTTAATATCACTTGATCGTTTTACACTCGATTTTAAGGATGTAAATCAGATTTTGCTTGTGGTTTAAAACTCCATTTTTGAGTCTCAATTTACGAATAATTAAGGCTCATTCTCATGAAATTTTTTTACATTGTACAAGAGTGCAATCTTCCTTATTAATTGGGGTTTATAAGTGATAGTTTATTATTAAATGCTCAGGCACTCAAGAGGACCTTCTAGAGGATCTCACGGGAGACTTCTAAACCATTATTTGAACTTGCTACTTGAATCACTCGGTGAGTATCAAGTGCATGAATTTGTTGCTAAGTGTTTACTGCTTCTTATCCGTTATTTGAATTTGGAAATTTAGAGACGAATGTGTATTTTACCGCACTCGTTCTCTTTCAAATGAAATTATATTCGAATGTTGCTATGTGAATTCATATTCGACTTGTATGTAGTAATGTGGATATGATTCATATATATGATTCGTATTTGTGATTCCTGGTCGGAATTGTCGATTTGAGCGTTGCTTATCAACTTATATTCGTGTTCGTATTCGTATTCGGGGGACGCCCAAACTCGTTAGTTACTTTGCGAATCGAGCCAGCATGGGCTTGGTCGGTAAGTTTAGTAAACCATGAATATTCGTAGAGCATGATCTATTGGAGAGATCTTGCTCGACATTACTCGCGCAATATTGCCATGATATACTCGAGTATGATTAGAATTTTGATGAGCGGGCCCGGTAAGGGGGTGTAACGGTGACGGGATTCGAAAAAAGTGGTGTATCTACAGGATTTGATACTTATGTGGTTGACGGAGTGTCAACATGGAATTTGATCAAGACCATGGCTCGATTACGTTGAATTTAGCTCCGGAGAGTTACAGTATCCTTGAATTATTTTTTAACGGTGACGGGATTCGAAGAAAGTGGTATATCTACAGGATTTGATACTTATGTGGTTGACGGAGTGTCAACATGGAATTTGATCAAGACCATGGCTCGATTACGTGGAATTTAGTTCCTGAGAGTTACAGTATCCTTGAATTGTTTCTGTCTACTTTTCTTACTGGAAATGTGAATTATTCAAACTTTATACCATTACTTACTGTGTATTTGTTGTTGCTATTTGGAATACGTGCTTGCATGTGTGTTTATTGGCCTCACAAGCATTCGCTCAACCCGTTAGATTTATTTTTCTTAACAGGACCGAATGGGAAGATTTTGGAGAAAAGCCGACTAGATTACTCTTTTGATTAGTACCTTGGTTATAATTGTTTAGTCGACTTATAATTGTTGTATTTTGAAACTTGATGCACTTTTGATTTGGCATATTGGATGTATTTGTCTAGACAACTTTTGGATGTTGTATATATTTGGAAATTGATGTATCTTTTGGATTCTGATGTAAGAATTGGGTAACTGATGTATTCTGAACTCGTGGTGCAAGATTTGGATATTTGATTATGGAAGCAACTTTTCCTTATTAGACTAGTATAAATCGTTATATATTGTTACGCTTGAATCGATTTGTCTCGAGTCCTGGCGAGAGCTGGGCAGGAGTTCTGCGGATACCCTTGGGTTCGCCCTTGGGAGAAGTGGGGGCGTCACAGTTGGTATCAGAGTTTAGGTTTCTGATCTTTGTAGTGTATCCTAAGCTTAAAAGTTTAGGATGCCGGACTGTTGGACCGGTTTGAAAGTTAAGTGATCACTTGTAAGGATGAAATCAGAGCCGTTTCGCGTAGCCTGTTCACGGGGTGAGATTAGACTAAGTGGTGTTATGGTTCTTATTATGTGAACGAGTAAAGGGTTAATTACTCTTCTAGAGTATAAGTTGTGAATCATGAATGTGATAGGTATAAATCTTTTATCGTAATACTTGGGGAGGACTAGATATGTATGTTGGGTAGGAATCTCAAATATGGTGATTTACTCTTGGGACTGGCCAGCTCGAGATGTGAATTATCTTATTTCGGATTCTTGTACCCGAATGTTTAAGAGTTGAGGGCAATGTTTAGAATTTGAGATCTTCATTTGCGGGAAAAAGAACGAGTCGATATTTCACGTGAATAGTTACAGGAAACCAATAGTCGTTTGACTAAGATGGCACAATAATTAAGAGAGAGAGGTAGAGAAAGATTGACGGATGGTCCTATGTAACTTGATAGGATCCAAGTGTTTGACATGAGTCGGAAATAAAAAAAAAATTAGACTTTTTTTACTGGTATAGTTAGGATTAGCAGGGATGATGCTAAGTGCTGAGACCATTGTATTTTGCATGACTGTGTGGCCTACTTTTGAGGCACTTGCTTTTACTTTAGTCTTCTGTGACTAAAAGTATTCTTGTGACACTTGCGTGCTATAATTTTTTATCTTCCCCCTGACTTGTTAATTGTATGAACTTGAAGTGTTAATGAATGTAAATTATTGTTATGTTCGATGTTTTCGTGATTGGTTCTTGTTTCAAGAATTTTCCCTCGTAATTGATTTATTCCTTGCATTAGGCACACCTTGGATAATGGACGGACGAAGGGGTGGTCGAGGCCGTTGGCGAAGGACTAGACAGGTCCAACCTCATGGTGATGACCAGGGATCGGCAGCTGGACCGACTCAGGGACAAGAAAATATTGAGGGTAATCAAATGGCTACTGCCATCAATAGGATGACTGATATCTTAGAGCGTTTAACTGATAGACAGGGTCTTGGACCCTTTAACCAACCTGGGGGTCAGGATAGAGGAGAAGATAGGGTTTTGGAGAGGTTCCTGAAGTTTAACCCACCTAAATTCAGTGGAGAGCCTGACCCCGAGGCAGCTGAGAACTGGTTAGAGAATGACTAATATATTCGCTGCTTTAAACTATACTGAAAATAGGCGAGTAAATTTTGCTGCTTTCCAATTTGAGAGAATGGCACGTGCCTGGTGGGATTTGATAAGGGGGAAGTGGGAAAGAGCGCAGACCCCTTGGACTTGGAAAAATTTCAGGAGGGGATTTAATGAGAAATTTCTCCCACCCTTGGTTCAAGAGAAAAGGGAAGATGAATTCATAAAATTGAGGCAATGAACTTGTAGTGTAGCCTAATATGAAGGGAAATTTACTAAACTTTCTAAGTATGCTCCAGAATTAGTGACTAATGAACAAAAGAGGATAAGGCGCTTTGTACAAGGACTTAATATGGAGATTCAGGAGTGGTTAGCAGCAGCCCAAATCTCTACGTTCACTGAAGTCTTAGAAAAAGTGCAGAGAGTCAAGAGTGTAAGGCTGCAAGTTAGAGACTTTCACGCTAAGAAAAGGGGCACTTCTAGTTACCCGTCTGGATAGGCAGATAAGAGTGCCCCACCTTTCAAAAAGGGAAAAGGAACTGGTGGAGTGGAGATATCTAGCACAACAAAAGAGACTCAATCAAGAGGAGATCGCAATGGGCGAGATCAATCGAGAGGGGCACCTCCAAGTGGTCAATCTATGGCTCCTCAAGTTGTTTGTGGTTATTGTGGCAAGTTCAACCATACGGAGAGTGATTGTTTTAGAAAATAAGGAAGATGCTTGTATTGTGGTAGTACCGAGCACCAAATATCAAAATGCCCAACCGTACCAAAAGAAGGAGGTAATACCCAAAGGTTTGAAAAGTCAGCTGCTAAACAGTCTAGTGCTAGAGGAAGTCGATCTAAAGCACCAGTTAGGCTTTATGCATTAGGCTATCAACAGGCTTCCAATTCTGCTACGGTCGTTGAAGGTATGATTCTCGCTTTTCATTGCCTATTTGAGGGTCTAAGTGACCCTAGTACATTTCACACTTTTACAAAATCCTAGATTCTTAAGATAGAATCAAAGTTTGACTACAATTTAGGTGAGATATGGGTTAGCGATTGTAAGTTACTGATTGATCTGATAGATGCGACTATGAAGAGGTATAATGTTATCCTAAGTGTGAATTTTGAGAACGAAATTCACTTAAGGGGGAGAGGATATGAGGACTCACAAATTTTCTTATATTAAATTTTTATTTCGAACTCATTTAATTATTTACTTGGCCATTTGTTTCAAATATTATTTTCTAACCTCTTGAGAGGTAATTATATTGATCTATGACTTACTTATATTTTTAGAGTGGCTCATTTCAAAATTTTATTTCCGAAGGCTCGTTAAGTGAAAATAGTAAATACGCGATTTGGAGTAAATAATTGATTCGGGGATATAATAAGTTTGAAAAATTGAAAACTTGTACATTAGTATCAAAATAGGTATTTTTATGTTTAATTGCTCAATTATTAGTTAGTAATATTATCGTTATAAGAATTTCTTAGAAATTTTACTCTATCACGTATAAATCGGAAGTACGCGTTTTCGCGTGCGCATTTAATTGAGGGCCTTTAGACCATTATTTTGGGACTACTAAGAGTGAATAATGATGATATGATTGGAAGTGCATTAGAGATTTAGTGCACTAGTGAAATAAATTTGAGAGGAATCGAGCACAAAACGCGCGTACGCAGCGAGAGAAAGAGTTGACTTTTAGGAAAAATCTTGGTCACAAATTCTGAAGCTTCCTCAAGAAGCTACAACACTCTCTACACTCTCATTTCCCTCTCTCATTCCAGCGGCCAAGGAGGAAGGAAGAACAACTCCAAGGAGGAAGGCAGAACAACTCCATACTTCCAAATTTTCCTCTTCATTTCTTGCACAAAAACATCACCAAATCACACAAAAATTGAACTACACATAGCTTAACCCTTGGAGTTTGTATCTAGCTAAGAAAGAGGGGCTGTTTTCATGAATTTCTTGGACCAAGAGGGGACCGAAAATTCTGTCCTTGTGCATCTAAGAAGGTGAGCCGGATCAACTCTCCAAATGTTGCTTCATGGAATTAGTAATGCACGCTTAAGCCCTTGCATGTTTATGGGTAGCTTGTTTGTGATGGAAAATTGGTTGTGTAGGCTCTATGAACTCCCACCTTGGATATATGGACTGATTTGTGGTGTTTTGATGGTAATAATGTTTATTTAGTGCTTAAACTAGTGGATTAATGTTGGGTTGTTGATAGAAACTTAAGTATGGTGCATTGACCAAAAGTGACCATTTTACCCCTGCTTTGTTCGAGCACTTTGGTGTGAAATTTTGAAGATCTAATGGCTTGTTTATGTTGTTTACATGTTATATTGATTGTGTTAAAAGTTTCATGGAAAAATAACATAATTTGGTTGGTTAAATGAAGTGATTTCCAAAGTTTAGAAACTGGAAAATGATTCCCGTCACTACCCAGACAGTCATCTTGTTTCGGCTATAATTCATTGCTCCGATGTTGGAATCGAGTGCCGTTTGCTGCACTGGAAACTTGACATTCCCAGCTTTCATTTGGTATAAAATTTACGTTCTGGTTCCACTCGAGTGAGCCAAACCATCCATTTAAAAATTTCTGACCTGTTTCGTTGGTTCACTACAATTTGATGGTCAAATGTGAGCCAGTTATGGATGGATTTTGAAATGGTTTCTTCTGAGAAATTATAGATTTATGAATTTTTTTCCAACTCCACCAACCATGCTCAATTCCGAGTTGAATTGAGTGATTTATAATCAAAATTCGAATCTGGTCTTGTGAAGAAATACCATGCATTTGGACAGATTTGAAACTAACAAGGATTTGGGACTTGATATCCGAAGTTTCTTAGTGTAAATCACCTATCAAATATACTTTGCACATATTTTAGACATTACCTACTGGAATGAGCCGTGTTTTAGGTGTCTTATTGGCCAAACATTTTGAAAACGGAAAAACGGAAGTCCAAGGCAGATTTGCCGAGGAACTTCTTGGGACTTTAGTGGTTTCATTAACCAACTTTATGTACATATTTTTCTATGAAAATTGGCAGAGGAATAGTCCCTATATGGTAGTATTACACTGCTGAATTTGGTGCCATTCCGACTCCGTTTCGCTGCTCAACTAAAATTCCAAAGTTCATGATTTGAGTTTGGAAAACCCTTGATTAACAAGGTAATTTTAGTAACTTTGAGCTACCATATCTTGGTGCTCAAAACTCCGAATCTTGTTTCATTTGTTTTGTTTTAAACTTGGATTGTAACTCTAATAGATTTACAAATTTCAGAGGTTAGTTTGGATCAAGTGAATTTTTCCGAATTTTTAAAGTTGGCCAAAAACCAACCTAAATCTGTCTTCATTGCCCCAGAACAGCAACTTTGAGCCAAATTTTGGATATCTTCCATTTGGAATCATGGAAAAGTGTATTCTAGGAACTTTTAGTACTTTGGAAGTAGTTTCCAACGGTACCAAATTTTCTAATTTCGGACGTGTAAAGAATGAGATACGATTTTTCAAAGTAAGCGTAAGAAATCTGAAAATATCTAACTTAAAGGAAATGGAGTTTTTCAAACTCTCTTTTCCCTTTTAATATCACTTGATCGTTTTACACTCGATTTTAAGGATGTATATCAGATTTTGTTTGTGTTTTAAAACTCCACTTTTGAGCCTCAATTTACGAATAATTAAGGCTAATTCTCGTGAAATTTTCTTAGATTGTACAAGAGTGCCATCTTTCTTGTTAATTGGGTTTATAAGTGATAGTTTATTATTAAATGTTCAGGTGCTCAAGAGGACCTTACAGAGGATCTCACGGGAGACGCCTAAACCATCATTTGAACTTGCTACTTGAATCACTCGGTGAGTGTCAAGTGCATGAATTTGTTACTAAGTGTTTACTGCTTCTTATTCGTTATTTGAATTTGAAAATTTAGAGACGAGTGTGTACTTTACCGCACTCGTTCTCTTTCAAACGAAATTATATTCGAATTTTGCTATGTGAATTCATATTCGACTTGTATGCAATAATGTGGATATGATTCGTATATATGATTTATATTTGTGATTCCTAGTCGGAATCGTCGATTTGAGCGTTGCTCATCAACTTATATTCATATTCGTATTCGTATTCGTATTCGAGGGACGCCCAAACTCATTGGTTACTTTGCGAATCGAGCCAGCATGGGCATGGTCGGTAAACTTAGCAAACCATGAGATATTCGTAGAGCATGATCTATTGGAAAGATCTTGCTCGGCATTACTCACGTAGTATTGCCATGATATACTCGAGTATTATCAAAACTTTGATGAGCGGGTCCGGTAAGGGGGTGTAACGGTGACGGGATTCGAAAAAAGTGGTGTATCTACAGGATTTGATACTTATGTGGTTGACGGAGTGTCAACATGGAATTTGATCAAGACCATGGCTCGACTATGTGGAATTTAGCTCCTGAGAGCTACAGTATCCTTGAATTGTTTCTGTCTACTTTTCTTACTGGAAATGTGAATTATTCGAACTTTATAGCATTACTTACTGTGTATTTGTTGTTGCTATTTGGAATACATGGTAGCATGTGTGTTTCTTGGCCTCACGAGCATTCGCTCACCTAGTTAGATTTGTTTTCCTTAACAGGATCGGGTAGGAAGATTTTGGAGAAAAGCCTACTAGATTACTCTTTTGATTAGTACCTTGGTTATAATTGTTTAGTCGACTTATAATTGTTGTATTTTGAAATTTGATGCACTTTTGATTTGGCATATTGGATGTATTTGTCTAGACAACTTTTGGATGTTGTATATATTTGGAAATTGATGTATCTTTTGGATCCTGATGTAAGAATTGGGTAACTGATGTATTCTGAACTCGTGGTGCAAGATTTGGGTATTTGATTATGGAAGTGACTTTTCCTTATTAGACTAGTATAAATTGTTATATATTGTTAAGTTTGAATCGATTTGTGTCGAGTCCTGGCGAGAGTTGGGCAGGCGTTCTGCGGATACCCTTGGGTTCGCCCTTGGGAGAAGTGGGGGCGTTACAGTTGGTATTAGAGTTTAGGCTTCAGTTCTTTGTAGTATATCCTAGGCTTAAAAGTTTAGGATGCTGGACTGTGGGACTGGTTTTGAAAGTTAATTGATCGCTTGTAAGGATGAAATCAGAGCCGTTTCACGTAGTCTGTGCGAGGGGTGAGATTGGGCCAAGTGGTGTTATGGTCCTTATTATGTGAATGAGTAAAGGGTTAAGTACTCTTCTAGAGTATAAGCTGTGAATCATGAATGTGATAGGTATAAATCTTTTATCGTAATACTTGGGAAGGACTAGATATGTATGTTGGGTAGAAATCTCAAATATGGTGATTTACTCTTGGGACTGGCCAGCTCGAGATGTGAATTATCTTATTTCGGATTCTTGTACCTGAATGTTTAAGAGTTGAGGGCATTGTTAAGAACTTGAGATCTCCATTTACGGGGAAAAGAACGAGTCGATATTTCACGTGAATAGTTACAGGAAACCAATAGTCGTTTGACTAAGATGGCACAATAATTAAGAGAGAGAGGTAGAGAAAGATTGATGGATGGTCCTATGTAACTTGATAGAATCCAAGTGTTTGATATGAGTCGGAAATAAAAAAAAAGTAGACCTTTTTGACGGGTATAGCTAGGATTAGCAGGGATGATGCTAAGTGCTGAGGCCATTGTATTTTGCATGACTGTGTGGCCTACTTTTGAGGCACTTGCTTTTACTTTAGTCTTCTGTGACTAAAAGTATTCTTGTGGCACTTGCGTGCTATAATTTTTTATCTTCCCCCTGACTTGCTAATTGTATGAACTTGAAGTGTTAATGAATATAAATTACTGTTATTTTCGATGTTTTCGTGATTGGTTCTTATTTCAAGAATTTTTCCTCGTAATTGATTTATTCCTTGCATTAGGCACACCAAGGATAATGGACGGACGAGGGGGTGGTCGAGGCCATGGGCGAAGGACTAGACAGGTCAAACCTCATGGTGATGACCAGGGATCGGCAGCTGGACCGACCCAGGGACAAGAAAATATTGAGGGTAATCAAGTGGCTACTGCTATAATAGGATGACTGATATCCTAGAGCGTTTAACTGATAGACAAGATCTTGGACCCTTTAACCAACCTGGGGGTCAGGATAGAGGAGAAAATAGGGCTTTGGAGAAGTTCCTGAAGTTTAACCCACCTAAGTTCACTGGAGAGCCCGGCCTCGAGGCAGCTGAGAACTGGTTAGAGAGAATGACTAATATATTCGCTGCTTTAAACTATACCGAAGATAGGCGAGTAAATTTTGCTGCTTTCCAATTTGAGGGAATGACACGTGCTTGGTGGGATTTGATAAGGGGGAAGTAGGAAAGAGCGCAGACCCCTTGGACTTGGAAAAATTTCAGGAGGGGATTTAGTGAGAAATTTCTCCCACCCTTGGTTCAAGAGAAAAGGGAAGATGAATTCATAAAGTTGAGGCAAGGAACTTCTAGTGTAGCCGAATATGAAGGGAAATTTACTAAACTTTCTACGTATGCTCCAGAATTGGTGTCTAATGATCGAAAGAGGATAAGGCGCTTTGTACAAGGATTTAATGTCGAGATTCAGGAGGGGTTAGCTGCAGTCAAAATCTCTACGTTCACTGAAGTCTTAGAAAAAGCGCAGAGAGTCGAGAGTGTAAGGCTGCAAGTTAGAGACTTTCACGCTAAGAAAAGGGGCACTTCTAGTAACCCGTCTGGACAGGCAGATAAGAGTGCCCCACCTTTCAAAAAGGGAAAAGGAACTGGTGGAGTGGAGATATCTAGCACACCAAAAGAGACTCAATCAAGAGGAGATCGCAATGGATGAGGTCAATCAAGAAGGGCACCTCCAAGTGATCAATCTGTGGCTCCCAAAGTGGATTGTGGTTATTGTGGCAAGTTCAACCATACGGAGAGTGATTGTTTTAGAAAACAAGGAAGATGCTTGTATTGTGGTAGTACCGAGCACCAACTATCAAAATGCCCAACCGTACCAAAAGAAGGAGGTAATACCCAAAGGCCTGAAAAGTCAGCTGCTAAACAGTCTAGTGCTGGAGGAAGTCGATCTAAAGCACCAGCTAGGGTTTATGCATTAGGCTATCAACAGGCTTCCAATTCTGCTACGGTCATTAAAGGTATGATTCTCGCTTTTCATTGTCTATTTGAGGTTCTAAGTGACCCTAGTACAATTCACACTTTTACAAAATCCTAGGTTCCTAAGATAGAATCAAAGTTTGACTACAATTTAGCTGGATAGAAATTGTGAGATATGGGTTAGCGATTGTAAGTTACTGATTGATCAGATAGACGCGACTATGATGAGGTATGATGTTATCCTAAGTCTGAATTTCGAGGACGAAATTCTCTTAAGGGGGAGAGGATGTGAGAACTCACAAATTTTCTCATATTAAATTTTTATTTCGAGCTCATTTAATTATTATTTGGCCATTTGCTTCAAATATTATTTTCTAACCTCTTGAGAGCTAATTATATTGATCTATGACTTACTTATATTTTTAGAGTGGCTCGTTTCAAAATTTTATTTCCGAAGGCTCGTTAAGTGAAAATAGTGAATACGCGATTTGGAGTAAATAATTGATTCGGGAATACAATAAGTTTGAAAAATTGGAAACTTGTACATTAGTCTCAAAATAGGTATTTTTATGTTTAAATGCTCAATTATTAGTTAGTAATATTATCGTTATAAGAATTTCTTAGAAATTTTACTCTATCATGTATAAATCGGAAGTACGTGTTTTCGCGTACGCATTTAATTGAGGGCTTTTAAACCATTATTTTGGAACTACTAAGAGTGAATAATGATGATATGATTGGAAGTGCATTAGAGGTTTAGTGCACGAGTGAAATAAACTTGAGAGAAATCGAGCACAAAACGCGCCTGCGCGCGCGAGAGAGAGAGTTGACTTTTAGGACAAATCTTGGCCACAAATTCTCAAGCTTCCTCAAGAAGCTACAACACTCTCTACACTCTCTCATTCCAGTGGCCAAGGAGGAAAGAAGAACAACTCCAAGGAGGAAGGCAGAACAACTCCAAGCTTCCAAATTTTCCTCTTCATTTCTTGCACGAAAACATCACCAAATCACACAAAAGTTGAACTACACATAGCTTAACCCTTGGAGTTTGTATCTAGCTAAGAAAGAGGGGCTGTTTTCATGAATTTCTTGGACCAAGAGGGGACCGAAAATTCTGTCCTTGTGCATCTAAGAAGGTGAGCCGGATCAACTCTCCAAATCTCGCTTCATGGAAGTAGTAATGCACGTTTAAGCCCTTGCATGTTTATGGGTAGCTTGTTTGTGATGAAAAATTGGTTGTGTGGACTCTATGAACTCCCACCTTGGATATATGGACAGATTTGTGTTTTGATGGTAATAATGTTTATTTAGTGCTTAAACTAGTGGATTAATGTTGGGTCGTTGATAGAAACTTAAGTATGGTGCATTGACCAAAAGTGACCGTTTTGCCCCTGCTTTGTTCGAGCACTTTGGTGTGAAATTTTGAAGATCTAATGGCTTGTTTATGTTGTCTACATGTTCTATTGATTGTGTAAAAAGTTTCATGGAAAAATAACATGATTTGGTTGGTTAAATGAAGTGATTTCCAAAGTTTAGAAACTGGAAAATGATTCCCGTCACTACCCAGACAGTCATCTTGTTTCGGCTATAATTCATCTGTCCGATGTCGGAATCGAGTGCTGTTTGCGGCACTGGAAACTAGGCATTCCCAGCTTTTATTTGATGTAAAATTCACATTCTAGTTCCACTTGAGTGAGCCAAACCATCCATTTAAAAATTTCTGTCCTGTTTCGTTGGTTCACTACAGGGCAGAACTTGAACTACAACTTGACGCTCAAATGTGAGCTAGTTATGGATGGATTTTGAAATGGTTTCTTTAGAGAAATTATAGATTTATGAATTTATTTTCCAACTCCACCAATCATGCTCAATTCCGAGTTGAATTGAGTGATTTATGATCAAAATTCGAATCTGGTCTTGTGAAGGAATGCCATGCATTTGGACAGATTTGAAACTAACAAGGATTTGGGACTTGATATCCGAAGCTTCTTAGTGTAAATCACCTATCAAATGTACTTTGGACATATTTTGGACATTAACTACTGGAATGAACCGTGTTTGAGGTGTCTTATGTGCGAAACATTTTGAAAACGGAAAAACGGAAGTCCAAGGCAGATTTGCCGAGGAACTTCTTGGGACTTTAATGGTTTCATTAACTAAGTTTCCGTACATATTTTTCTATGAAAATTGGCAGAGGAATATTCCCTATATGATAGTATTATACTACTAAATTTGGTGCCATTCCGACTCCGTTTCGCCGCTCAACTAAACTTCCAAAGTTCTTGATTTGAGTTTGGAAAACCCTTGATTAACAAGGAAATTTTGGTAAATTTGAACTACCATATCTTGGTGCTCAAAACTCCGAATCTTTTTCCATTTGTTTTGTTTTAAACTTGGATTGTAACTCTAATAGAGTTACAAATTTCAGAGGTTAGTTCGGATCAAGTGAATTTTTCCGAATTTTCAAAGTTGGCCAAAAACCAACCTATACCTGTCCTCAATGCCCCAGAACAGCAACTTTGAGCCAAATTTTGGATACCTTCCATTTGGAATCATGGAAAAGTGTATTCTAGGAACTTTTAGTACTTTGGAAGTAGTTTCCAACGGTACCAAATTTTCCAATTTCGGACGTGTAAAGAATGAGATACGATTTTTCAAAATAAGTGTAACAAATCTGAAAATTTCTAAAGTAAAGGAAATGGAGTTTTTCAAACTCTCTTTTCCCTTTTAATATCACTTGATCGTTTTACACTCGATTTTAAGCATGTAAATCAGATTTTCCTTGTGTTTTAAAACTCCACTTTTGAGCCTCAATTTACGAATAATTAAGGTTCATTCTCGTGAAATTTTCTTAGATTGTACAAGAGTGCAATCTTCCTTATTAATTGGGGTTTATAAGTGATAGTTTATTATTAAATGCTCAGGCGCTCAAGAGGGCCTTCCAGAGGATCTCACGTGAGTGTCAAGTGCATGAATTTGTTGCTAATTGTTTACTGATTCTTATCCGTTATTTGAATTTGAAAATTTAGAGACGAGTGTGTACTTTACCGCACTCGTTCTCTTTCAAATGAAATTATATTCGAATGTTGCTATGTGAATTCATATTCGACTTGTATGTAGTAATGTGGATATGATTCGTATATATGATTCGTATTTATGATTCCTAGTCGGTATCGTCGATTTGATTGTTACTTATCAACTTATATTTGTATTCGTATTCGTATTCGTATTCGAGGGATGCCCAAACTCATTGGTTACTTTGCGAATCGAGCCAGCATGGGCTTAGTCGGTAAGCTTAGCAAACCATGAGATATTCGTAGAGCATGATTTATTGGAAAGATCTTGCTCGGAATTACTCGCGCAGTATTGCCATGATATACTCGAGTATTATCAAAACTTTGATGAGCGGGCCCGGTAAGGGGTGTAACGGTGACGGGATTCGAAGAAAGTGGTGTATCTACAGGATTTGATACTTATGTGGTTGACGGAGTGGTAACATGGAATTTGATCAAGACCATGGCTCGACTACGTGGAATTTAGCTCCTGAGAGCTACAGTATCCTTGAATTGTTTCTGTCTACTTTTCTTACTGGAAATGTGAATTATTCGAACTTTATAGCTTTACTTACTGTGTATTTGTTGTTGTTATTTGGAATACGTGCTTGCATGTGTGTTTCTTGGCCTCACGAGCATTCGCTCACCTCGTTAGATTTGTTTTCCTTAACAGGACCGGATAGGAAGATTTTGGAGAAAAGCAGACTTGATTACTCTTTTGATTAGTACCTTGGTTATAATTGTTTAATCGACTTATAATTGTTGTATTTTGAAACTTGATGCACTTTTGATTTGGCATTTTGGATGTATTTGTCTAGACAACTTTTGGATATTGTATATATTTGGAAATTGATGTATCTTTTGGGTTCTGATGTAAGAATTGGGTAACAGATGTATTCTGAACTCGTGGTGCAAGATTTGGATATTTGATTATGGAAGCGACTTTTGCTTATTAGACTAGTATAAATTGTTATATATTGTTAAGCTTGAATCGATTTGTTTCGAGTCCTGACGAGAGCTGGGCAGGCGTTCTGCGGATACCCTTGGGTTCGCCCTTGGGAAAAGTGGGGGCGTCACAGTTGGTATTAGAGCTTAGGTTTCAGATCTTTGTAGTGTATCCTAGGCTTATAAGTTTAGGATGCCGGACTGTGGGACTGGTTTGAAAGTTAAGTGATCGCTTGTAAGGATGAAATCAGAGCCGTTTCACATAGTCTGTGCGAGGGGTGAGATTGGGCCAAGTGGTGTTATGGTCCTTATTATGTGAATGAGTAAAGGGTTAAGTACTCTTCTAGAGTATAAGCTGTGAATCATGAATGTGATAGGTATAAATCTTTTATCGTAATACTTGGGAAGGACTAGATATGTATGTTGGGTAGAAATCTCAAATATGGTGATTTATTCTTGGGACTGGCCAGCTCGAGATGTGAATTATCTTATTTCGGATTCTTGTACCTGAATGTTTAAGAGTTGAGGGCATTGTTAAGAACTTGAGATCTCCATTTACGGGGAAAAGAACGAGTCGATATTTCACGTGAATAGTTACAGGAAACCAATAGTCGTTTGACTAAGATGGCACAATAATTAAGAGAGAGAGGTAAAGAAAGATTGATGGATGGTCCTATGTAACTTGATAGGATCCAAGTGCTTGATATAAGTCGAAAATAAAAAAAAAATTAGACCT